TGTTTTTCCTCTTTAATGAATCAACTATTTGATTGAGTAAACTGAGACTAAAACCCAAACCTTAGTGGTTGTTTTAGACTTGAGCAAATACAGCAGAAGAGCCAAGATCACTAGCCATCAACAGGCTCCCCCTGGCCTCCCTGCTGCAGCTGCAGCTGCCTCTCCCGGCAGTTCTCACTCAGGAAGGAAAAGGATTCCTTTCGCTGGGGCAGAGTAAGACTATTAGGGGCTGGACCCACCCCTGTGTCCACTTGCTGGTGAGGGTACAAAACAGGACTTGGGCTGGTGCTGGTGAATCTGAGCTTCATCCTAACACACCGAAATGAAAACGGCCAATCTAGAGGCATGGGAGAAGGACTCAGATGGGAAAAGGTGCCAGCCATCTGCTGCTCCAACAGAAACAGTGCTCTCAGGAAGGAACTGGCCGGTCACGACTCAATCCGGACATCAAGGCAACATCTGGGTGAAGGAGTAACAGCTGTGGGTATAATGTGATCAAATATTGTGGAGGTGGCGTGATTGCTTGGCCATGGTCATGATCAGTATTTATTTTCTCCCTTCCTGAACGAGTGTCTGGTTTTTAACACGGTTACTCTTACAGGCAGCCTCCCATGCCCTCTGGGAGGTGGAGAGGAGTGGCCCTCCGCGCTGCTGTGCTGAGTTACACAGCCCTCCCTCACTTCCCTGCAGGTCCTTTAAAACCCGCATTCTCACATGGTTCCATGATTTGGGCTCAGGGCAGGAAACAGAACCTGATTCAACATTTTGCTAAGTATTATTTTCACCACGCTGAATAGGGTCTTTTTTGATCTGCAACCACAGCTGGTCCGTGGTTCTCTTGATCCACATAGACTGAAGAGCTTCCTCCCCTGTGGATTTCCTAGTGTGAGTTGACCACACATCTACATGTACTTGCTTCTCTGTATGTCACCAAGAGTCACTGTTCCAATACCGGTGGGCACTGACAGAGCTGGGCAGCTGTGCCAGGGAATTCAGGGAGCAAACACTCCAATGAGAAAAACGTCCCAGCCCTAAAACTTAGTTGACTTTGGGGCTTCCCTGGTGGTGCAGTGGTTAAGAATCCGCCTGCCAAGGCAGGGGACACGGGTTGGGGCCCTGGTCCGGGAAGATCCCACATGCCGTGGAGCAACTAGGTCCATGAGCCACAGCTACTGAGCCCTCGTGCCACAACTACTGAAGCCTGCGCAACTAGAGCACATGCTCCACAACAAGAGAAGCCACCGCAATGAGAAGCCTGTGCGCCACAACGAAGAGTAGCCCCCGCTCACTGCAACTAGAGGAAGCCTGCACGCAGCAATGAAGACCCAATGCAGCCAAAAATAAAAAATAAATAAAAAAATAAAAATTTTAAAAAAGAACCTTAGTTGACTTTAAGGGCTGGTATAAAATAAGGTAGAGGACTCAGGGCCAAATATTCATTTCCATTAAAATACATCATTTTAAAAAGCTGACGTTTTCGCTTGGTTTTGTCTTATTTTAAGCAACGTGAAGTTGGTTTTAGTGGAGATATGCAACCGGTAACTTAGGTTATTTTGAAAGATTTTCCTCCTTAAGATGAGCCTCAGCTGATAGTTCCTCCTTAATGCTGATAATCATCTAAAGCAAAACAAATGTCTAGGTCAATGAAGACTGAAACAGGACAATTCCTGGACACTAAATTTTCCAAGAACAAAGCACACAGTTGTTCTATACACACCCCTGCAACAGTTCTTAATGGAAAGGGCACAGAGACCTTTTACTTGGGGGCCTTGTTATGATGGAGCCCCAGAGGCACCACCACGAGACTGCCTTTGAGCCAAGGTCTCACAATGAGGGCACAAAGGTGGAGCTACCCCATCCTACAGTTCAGGTCTGGGATGACTAGAACAGCAGGGAACCTGAGTCCAGAAGTACCTTTCCCTCTCACTACATCAGCTGCAAGTCAGCCTCAGATTCCCCGTCCCTAAAGTAGATTAGCAGCTATTCACTCTAAAGGGTGCTTGTGGGGATTACACAGGATCATGGATGTGGACCAGCTCTGTCGATACTGAAGCTCCAGACAAAAGAAAGCACTTAGTTATCACAGCCAGGAAGGGCTTGGGACATGGGCTTGCATTTTAAAAGAAAACAAAACCCAGTCCAAACCCCCATCTCTCATGAGCATCAGTCGGACCAGTGGGTACTTTTGGAGTATGTGGATGGATCTTACCCACTGCGGGACATCAGGCAGGCCTTCCTGAAGCTTCTGAACTCAGGTCTTTTAAGTGCTCTGTGGTGCCCATGTGGACAAGTAGGGCTACGAACAGGTGTTGCTGCATGTTAGTCCATCTCCGTTTAGGGTCAGAAGTTCTGGATTCTATGATCAGATGGACTCTTGGGCAGCTGTTTAACTTCTCTGTTTCTTAGTTTTATTCATTTACTGCATGGGGATTATATCAGCCTTACTTACCTTGAAGATCTTTATGAGAATGCAATGAGATTTTTTTTAAAGAATATATACATATATGCATTATTAATTATCATTAGACTGGGGCTTCAGCATAACTCCTGGGTACTCTGAAAAGTTTTATTATTTAGAATCAGCCCAGGCTAATTGCTATTCCCTAATGCTTCTATTTAAAATAAACTTTTTATTTTAGAATATATATATATATACACACACACACATACATGTATATATATATTTTGGCCCAGCCCCACGTGGCTTGCAGGATCTTAGTTCCCCAACCAGGGGTCGAACCTGGGCCCATGGCAGTGAAAGCATCAAGTCCAAACTGCTGGACCGCCAGGGAATTCCCTTAGAATATATTTAGATTTACAGAAAAGTTCCAACAGAGAGTTCCCATACGCCCTTCACCCAGTTTCCCCTAATGTTGACATCTTACATAACTATGGCCCATTGTCAGAACTAAGAAACCAATATTAGTACATTAAGGTGCATGTGTCTTTTTGAATTATGCTTTTCTCAGGGTATATGCCCAGTAGTGGGATTGCTGGGTCATATGGTAGCTCTAGTTTTAGTTTTTTAAGGGACCTCCATACTGTTCTCCATAGTGGCTGCACCAATTTACATTCCCACCAGCAGTGCAGGAGGGTTCCCTTTTCCCCACACCCTCTCCAGCATTTATTGTTTGTAGATTTGTTGATGATGGCCATTCTGACCAGTGTGAGGTGATACCTTATGGTAGTTTTGATTTGCATTTCTCTAATAATTAGTGATGTTGAGCATCTTTTCATGTGCCTCTTGGCCATCTGTATGTCTTCTTTGGAGAAATGTCTATTTAGGTCTTCCATCCATTTTTTGATTGGGTTGCTTGTTTTTCTGATATTGAGTTGCATGAGCCCTTTGTATATTTTGGAGGTTAATCTTCATTTGCAAATATTTTCTCCCATTCTGAGGGTTGTCTTTTTGTCTTGTTTATGGTTTCCTTTGCTGTGCAAAAGCTTTTAAGTTTCATTAGGTCCCATTTGTTTATTTTTATTTTTATTTTCATTGCTCTAGGAGGTGGGTCATTTGCAGCACTATTTACAATAGCCAGGTCATGGAAGCAACCTAAATGTCCATCGACAGATGAATGGATAAAGAAGATGTGGTACATATATACAATGGAATATTACTCTGCCATAAAAAGGAATGGAGTTGGGTCATTTGGAGAGATGCGGATGGACCCAGAGACTGTCATACAGAGTGAAGTAAGTCAGAAAGAGAAAAACAAATATCATATATTAACGCATATATGTGGAATCTAGAAAAATGGTACAGATGAACCTGCTTGTGAGGCAGAAATAGAGACACAGATATAGAGCACAAACGTATGTACACCAAGGGGGGAAAGCAGGGGAGGGATGAATTGGGAGATTGGGATTGACATATATACACTAATATGTATAAAATAGATAACTAATGAGAACCTGCTATATAGCATAGGGAACTCTACTTAATGCTCTGTGGTGACCTAAATGGGAAGGAAATCCAAAACAGAGGAGATGTATGTATACATATAGTTGATTAACTTTCAGAAACTAACACAATATTGTAAAGCAACTATACCCCAATAAAAAAAATAAAGAAGATAAAAACAATAAAATATACTAAGATTTAAAAAATATTAGTACATTAATGTTAACAAATATAGACTTTATTCAGGTATCATCAGTTTTTCTACCAATGTCCTTTTTCTGTTCCAGGACTCCATCCAGGTACCACACTGCATTCAGTCCTCACGTCTCCCTGATTGCCTCTGGTTGATGATGGTTTCTCTGTCCTCCCTTGTCTTTCATTGATTGACAGTTTGAGGAGTACCAATCAGGTACTGTACGGACCACCCCTCAATTTGGTTTTGTCTGACATGTTTTTTTCATGATTGGACTATGGGTTTTGGGGAAGAGTGAAGTACTCTTCTCATCACATCATATCAGAGGTCCACGTCATCAACATGACTTATTACTGGGGATATTAACCTTAATCACGTGGTTAAGATGGGATCTACCAGATTTCTCCACTGTAAAGTAACTCTTTTCCCTTCCCATACTCTATTCCTAAAAATAGAAGGAAGTCACTAAGTCCAACTCACATTCAAGGGAAGGAAAATTGTTTCACTTCCTGAAGGGGGGAGTATCTACATGTATCATTTGGAATTCTTCTTCTTCTTTTTTTTTTTTTTTTTTTGCAGTACGCGGGCTTCTCTCTGTTGTGGCCTCTCCCGTTGCGGAGCACAGGCTCCGGACACGGAGGCCCAGCGGCCATGGCTCATGGGCCCAGCCGCTCCGATCCTCCCAGACCGGGGCACGAACCCGTGTCCCCTGCAACGGCAGGCGGACTCTCAACCACTGCACCACCAGGGAAGCCCTGGAATTCTTCTTTAAGGAACACTTGTCTCTTTGTTTGTGTTCAATTTTATTTATTTATTTATTTTTTGGCCACCCTGCATGTGGGATCTTATCTCCCCAACCAGGGATCAAACCTGCGCCCCCACCCCACCCCCGCCCGCAGTGGAAGCGCGGAGTCCTAACCGCTGGACCACCCGGGTATTCCCATGTGTTTATTTTATACTTTGGGTTAAAGTCCAATATGATGTTATCCATTTTGTTGCTCTAAGTGTTCCAGCTTTGGCCCCTGGGAGCTCTTCCAGTTAGCTCCTTCCCACATCCCTTGGACATACCCCCATAACTGTGGGTCTTTCTATCTTTATTTCTGTTTTGAGCACTTTCTGACTTTCTGGCTCTAGAAGACGTTCCAGGTTCATCTTATATATTCATTGCCCCAGCCAGAATCAGCCATTTCTCCAAGGACCCTGGTTGCTATTTTGGAAAATGATATTAGAAACCAACAACTGGGCACTGAGTGCTTTTTGTTACTGGTTGATGCTGATTTCTAACCAAATAATTGAAAATATTTAGAGCCAGAGAGATATGGGTTTTTGCTACCCGTATTACTTTGGGCAAGTTACTATATCACATTGGATCTGTTTCCTCATCCACGTGTAAGAATAATGAACATCACTCAGAGGGTTGTTGTGAGGTCAAGGGAGATAATATTGAAGGAACTTTCTATTTCTGATATTAGAGAGCTAGGTTTTCTTTTTCTACACCTTTAAAGCATCAATGATCTGACAATACAGTAATGCAAAAAATTAAGGGAAAATGGGAACCAAGAGAAATAAACAAGTAAGAAAATTGCGTTTGCCATGAAGGCATTTGCCATTTCCAGCAAATCTGAATTTTCACTTTGACAGCCACATGGTGATTGCGGTGGAGCAGGGAGTGATGACAGTGAAAACCAGGCCCAGCACTAAGCAAGAAATTTAATAGACAGTAAGCTGGATGCCAAAGAGCTATAACCCCGGGGGAGGGTAAAGAAATTGCTGCCCTTATCTGAACCCTCTGAGTCTTCCAGAAAACCTCAATTTGGTTTAGGGTGGGTCTCAAGCTAAGAGTCCCTTCAGACGCCTTGCAAGGGGAAGAAGATACCTTCAATTTGCCCTTCACATTAATCTTACAAATCATTTTCCAAGGACAGTGACTAGTACACATCTAGGACATCTTGAGCACTCAGCCCCAGCGGACGCCATGTGGGGCAGAAGAACCATCTAGTGGAGCCCTGTCCAGACTGCAGAGTCATGAGAAACGAGAAATGGTTGTTGTTTTAAGACACTAAGTTTTGGGGTTTTTTTGTTACATAGCAATAGATAACTGAAGTATTTTTATACATGCTTTTTGTCATAATTGCTGCCCCCTAAGAAGGAAAAAGATTCTTCAAGGTTCTTCCGAGCCCATTATAGTTTTGCTCCGGCAGGCTTCTCCAGGTTTGTCTATCAGTTAAGACTTCAACCAAACTGGTCTTTTCACTGTTTCTTAACATGTCTGTCCCAAGTACCCCCATTTCTATGATTTTGCTCACTTCACCAACCCCATCTGAAGGCTCACCTGCATTTCCCCCTCCTCAGCTGAACCACCGCCTCCACTTTGAATCTTCCCCTCTTCCAGGTCTAGCAAAGAACGCCATTAATTCCAAAGTGACCTCTGTCCTCTGCACTTATGCTTGTGGCCAAGTTCATTGGAAAGGTCCACTCCCTCGTGTTGTTGCGTTATTTGAAGGCAGTTTCGTGTCCCCAGCTATAATGAGCTCCCTTGAATGCAGAGACTGAGGATATACCTGTCTGTGTTTCAGCATCTAACAGCGGGCCTGGAAGAGGGAGGGAACCCAGAAAATGTGTTGTATAGATGATTACGCTGTTTAACGGTCTTCTTCTAAAGCAGCATTATGGTGATGATTCACTGGCTCTATCTTCATTTTCAGGTGCTCTGTGGCTGTCACACTGAATTCCCATTGCAACCACTGACAAAAGTACCACCAGGCCTTTTTTCTAAATATAAAGAATGAGTTAATAGGCTTTCGTAAGAAGTAAGAAAATGAAAATCACTTCATACCTCTTTTTTTTTTTTTTGCCAGCACTTTTGATTTCTTCCTCTCCTTTACATGTGAGAAGTTCATACACGGTGAATCACTTCCCTGTCACTTAAACTCTGAAGTGTAATATGATCACAGTAGGCAATGAAACCATGTATGTGAAGTCTCAGAGGCGCAAAAATTTGTGAGTGGAAACCGATAAAAGATTGGCAGGACTGTTTTCTAAGAAAGCAAAGAGCCGACAGCTGAGGCACGAAGGGTTTCTTCTGCATCCAGGGATTCTTACCTGACGCCTAATCTTCATGCTGGCCAGGGGAGTCAAATATTTATGTTCTAGATACCAGGCTTGCTCCTGGAACACCAGTTTGGTTCCATATAGCAGACAAAACTAAGGGGTGGGGGAAGAGGAGAGAAATGGAAAAATATGTTAGAAAACACAGAATCTAAGGAGGAGAATGAGAAAGAGCATAATATTACATTTCATAAGATCATAAAAGTTAATACATACTTACTGTAAATGGTCATATTTTGTTTTTTTTAATTTTTATTTTATATTGGAGTATAGTTGATTAACAATGATATGTTAGTTACAGGTGTACAGCAGTGATTCAGTTATACCCATACAAGTTTCTGTTCTTTTTCAAATTCTTTTCCCATTTAGGTTATTACAAAATATTGAGCCAAGATTTCTGTGCTATACAGTAGGTCTTTGTTGGTTATCTATTTTAAATATAGTAGGGTGTACATGTCAATCTCAAACTCCCAATCTATCCCTCCCCCTGCTTTCCCCCGGTAACCGTAAGTTTGTTCTCTAAGTCTGAAAATGGTCACATTTTGGACATGCAGTATATGTTTTATATTTTGAAACCACTCTATGGAGAAATTTAAAGCATATATAAAATTAGAAAAAATAGTATAACCAACTTCCATGTCTCCATCCCCCCAGTTCAACAAATATTAACTCACAGCCAGTCTTACTTCATCTACAATCTCATCTAATTCTTCCCCACCCCAGGTTACTTAGAATCAAAGTCCACTCATAATATATTTTAAAAAATAACTGTAATATTTCTGTTTGCTTTCTTTCTTGATTCATGAAAGAATATTCTTTTTTTTTTTTTTTTTTTTGTGGTACGCGGGCCTCTCACTGTTGTGGCCTCCCCCGCTGCAGAGCACAGGCTCCGGATGCGCAGGCTCAGCAGCCATGGCTCACGGGCCCAGCCGCTCCGCGGCATGTGGGATCTTCCCGGACCGGGGCACGAACCCGCGTCCCCCGCATCGGCAGGCGGACTCTCAACCACTGTGCCACCAGGGAAGCCCATGAAAGAACATTCTAAATGCCCATTCTGAATAATATCATCCTGATATTTTCCATTGAGCATGGTTTGATTAGACTTTCATAAAAACAGCATTCCTCATTTGCATTTTGTTTCAATACGTTTTTCCTATCACGTTTCTGAAACTGACACGCAGACCTCCGTCATGACATCAGTGGCATCCAGCAATAATAGATGAGTTTTCCTGTATTAACAGTAACTTTTTTTTTTGTATAATGCAAAAAAAAATACACTCAAATTGCCTATAGCAACTATAAAAGGTAATGATGCAATGCATTTAATTACTGTTTAGTAGTGCTTTTTATTTGAGCATTTCAAAGTATTAGTAAAAGTGTCATATTTCTATGAAGGACTTAAATAAAAATGAGGTAAATGTAGAATTGTTAAATGAGAATTTCAGAAGTCTTTACAATGAACAAGTAACTTTTAAGTTAACTATTCTTTAGCATTTCATATTTAATAATTCCAAAATTATACAAACATAGAGATAATAGTATAAGGTACCTCCAAGTCTATATCATCCAGCTTTAATAGCTGTCAACTCATAGCCAGTCTTGTTTTATCTCTACTCCCACCTGTTCCCCCCTTTCCATATTATTATGAGGCAAAGTTCAATTGTGATCATCTCTAGGTTTGGAGGGAAGAGAGCTATGTCGATCCTGGAAGAGAAAGCTATGTTGACAGGGTTCCCTTAGAGGAGCTGTAACCTTCAGCCAAGGAACACAGAAACCCCAAGGTGATCCCACAAGAAGGCAGGCAGGGGGCAGGGATATCCCAACCTCATTCTCCTCCCCATCTCCAGTCTCTAGCTGGGGCTTCCTGTTCTCAGAACCTAACTGGATCCAGAGGGCAAGGATTCCTCTGATGCAAGTTACGTAGGTCAATTTCCTGGGCCCAGAGCAGGGTGGAGAAGGGTGGAGAGTAGAGCTGGAAAAGCAAAGGGAGGATGTCTGGAAAAATCCCATCTCTAACACCCCCAACAGGTGGTCATCTAGCCTTAGTCCAGTCCTATCTCAAGTTCAAGTTCACCTGGTCCCACACAGCCCCGACTGCTGACACCATTCCCACGTTTCATCCCAGAGGCCAGTGTCACACTGTGCTGCCTATGTCTGCTCTGCCCTTCTGTCGACTCCTGACTTGTCCTCCTGTTGACAGTCTGTGGCTCTTGTGTATCTGATGCTCAGGGCCACTTTTCTGCCTTTGAACTTTTTCTTTTCTCCTTGAACACAGTTCGGACTCTCCTTTGACTACCCTCTTTTCTTGTCCTAGGCAACAGGCGTCCAGGTTCTTGGTGGTGACCAGAACACCACCTGGAGGTCCAGATACCATCAGCCCAGCCTCAGGTCCTCAAATGGAACCTGAATGTGTTTCCTTTTACGTTTCAGAGATGGGAGCTCAGTGCATCAAGAGGCATCCAGTTTTCCAACCCACTGTTTGAAGAACCATCGCATACTGAACCACTTGCCTATGCGGAACATGAATCTATGGATTGTTAACTCTGTCGGAAAGGGACCTTGTCCTGCTCATCTCTGTATGCCGAGGGTCTGGGAAAAAAGCTGATACACTCTAAGAGATTGGCTGACATCCAATTTCCTGTATACCTCATAGCTATTAATCCTGTAACTTTTGCTGCCTAAGGAGCAAAGCAGGAGTATATGAAAGTATCCAGATAACAACCCTTAACAATTTAAAGATAAGTTTCACATCTCTGCTTAGGCGTTCTTTCTTCAGAGGATCAGCCTTCACAGACTGCCATTTTCTCACAATGCAGCTTCCAGCTCTTGCGCCACTTTGGACCTGGTGGCCTCTTCTAAATGCTTAATTCTCTTCTTCAGGGTGTCTCACGGGACTGAACACAGGGTCCAGATGTTTTCTCATCGCTGTAGTGTCAGTAGCACCATCGCTGTCCTGGTTTGGGACTCTATACTTTTACAAGCAAAGGAAGATGGAATTTGCTTTTATGACAGTCACATGTTTTTTGAAGAAATGAGTGAAAGAATACCATGCAATTTGGTTTACATCAAATGTTTGCTCAGTTAACACTCCTACTGTGCCTTTTCTCCTATGAACCGTTTTCAACCAACCCATATATACACATACACATCCCTAAAGGGATGACTTTAAATTTATTCTCTTAAAGCATCATCTTGTTGATATGACTTACTTCAAGTCCCCCAAATCTCTATGAATATTAATTCAATCACCTCATGTGTTTATGTCATTTACAGATGTGTCAGTCCCACCTTTGTCTTTATATCATAGAACTCAACTGATAGGTCTGTATCTTTTCAATCAAGTATTTGAGAATCTATTTAACAGACTCTCATCTAACTCATATTTCTCTAGCTTGTACATAAGGATAGCCTAAGAGTCTGGAAAGTGCTGTGCAAAATCAAGATACATCGGGCTTCCCTGGTGGCGCAGTGGTTGGGAGTCCGCCTGCCGATGCGGGGGACGCGGCTTCGTGCCCCGGTCCGGGAGGATCCCACGTGCCGCGGAGCGGCTGGGCCCGTGAGCCATGGCCGCTGAGCCTGCGCGTCCGGAGCCTGTGCTCCGCAACGGGAGAGGCCACAACAGTGAGAGGCCCGCGTACCGCAAAAAAAAAAAAAAAAAAAAAAATCAAGATACCTCAACTTCCCCAGATTTTGTCTTCTAGCAACCTGATTAAGACAGGAAATAAGATTAGTTTAGCAAGGCTTAGCCACAGTGAGCAAAGACCACGCTCCTAGTGACCATCTTTTTCTAATCACTCATAAACTATCTTGAATAGCCTTTTCTAGCATTTTAACTTGGATTTATAAATTCTATAGTTTCCCCAATCTATTTTTCTTTCTTTGTTTTTTTTTAACGTGGACATTTGCTCATTTACAGTTTCCTGACATCTCTTTTGTCCTCCTTGGTTTCAAATGTCTCACAACTGTGTCCTTCCCAATTCAGAGAGAAGATGGGGACATTCTAGGAGACAAGTATGTCTGCTTTCTGTTTGCATTTATTAACATCAAAGCTTTCTTCCCCAGGCCAGGTGTCTGTCTCTTCGAACTCTGAGCGTAGCTAAAAATAGCCTTTTAAATCTTCAAGCCTCACATTATGGCGGGATTTGACCATCCTGACATTTACTAAATGCTACCCTTTTGTATTTATCCCTGGACAAGCGTCTCCCCCCATCACCATGCTTCTCATTTATATAGCTTCCTTAGACTTACGGCCATCAGAGAGTCCTCTCTACACTTATCTTGGTTTCTTTAAATGTGTCCCAAATTACACCTTTTTTTGGTATCTATTGTATTGTCAGAGTAATATTTTACTGTTTTTCTTACTCTCAAGCCCATGTGCCCCTATGAAATCTCTGCCCATAGAATCATAATAACCAATATTTTTTAATCACCTACTATGTGCCAGGCACTGCAAGGTATTTTACATTCACCTCGTTTAGTCTTCACAATAATCCTGAATGTAGCCATAACTCCTGGACAGAGTAAATGGAGAAGCTATTTGAGGAACTGAAAAATAAATATTGATAGTAGGCAGATTTGGGAAGAAGGCTAAAATTCAAAGTACCACCAAACAGGTGATGAGTTTAGTTTTTTTCCCTAGTCTTCAAGCTGCTTGTCCCTGGAGACGGGCGTGCATCAGACCAAGATAAATAAACCCCAGATTCTGGAAGGAGGATAGAAAAGGGAGCCCTGGGGAACCAGAGAGTACCGAGGAGGTCATGGACTCGGGGGGCTTGGGAGAGTAAGCCCATAAAGTTGTTTATGAACTTCTGGGCTCAACCCCAGGTGTACGTACACGGATCTAACACACATCAGTACAGAAAACACTCTGAGAACTGAACTAGCAAACAGATGAAAATGCAGGTGCCAGACTGGCCACTGTGTGGTGCATACATGGGACAGAACAGAATAGTACAGCAAAGCCTTTGAAGACTAAACTGACATTGAAACCACAGTGAACAGAAGGTGAGTTGCAACTTGCAGCCCAAACAACCAGATACATTCATTGCTAAAACAAAAATATTAACGTTCTCGATGGGGTTTAAACAAGACCCAGG